TAATAAATTATTATTATTTTAACAAAATCAGCTTTTCTAAGATGAATTGAGAGATGGTGTTCCTGACTCAAGACAGTTACAACTTGTTGGGAAAACACGGTATGTGTGCAGAGAGAGAAAACGAGGCACCTTCACGGAGACGGCACTGATCGGTGTGTGAGAAAGCAGAGGGGCAGGAGCTGCGGGAGGAGCAGCACCAAAGGCAAAGCAGGGCGGTGTGGGAGGCTGCGCCCTGCGTGCCCAGCGTGGTTGGGCAGCAGTGTCCGCCCGTGAGGAGCTGAGCATGGCTGCTCCTCCCTCGGCTGGGCGTGGACCCCAGGGGGCACTGGGCTGAGCATCTCAGCCCGTTCACCCTAGCAAGACCATTGTTCTCAAACAGCCAATGGTGGCGCGCTCTGGAGGCTGAGGCAGGAGGATTGCTGCCAGTTCAAGGCCAGCCTGGAATACGTAGTGAAACCCTGTGCCAGAAAGAAAGAAAGAAAGAGAAAGGGAGGGAGGGAGAGAGAGAGAGAGAGAGAGAGAGAGAGAGAGAGAGAGAAAGAGAGAAAGAAAGCACTCTGAGTCTGCAGAGTTTGTGCTTTTGAGTTAATTCAAAAAAGTTTAGGCAGAGACTCCAAAAAAGCCCTTTCACAGAGGTCAGTTTGTCAGGGGCAAGGATTTGGATGTTCTAAATTCTGTAACATTTTCTTTGTTTCTGCGGGAGGCAGGTAACTGGGGATTGAACCTAGGTATGTAGCACTGAGCCGCCTCCCCAGCCTGTATTTTTAAATTTGAGGACAGGGTCTTGCTAAGCCTTTAAATTGCCCAGGCGGGGCTCGACTTGTGGTCCTCCTGCCTCAGGCTTCCTGAATGTGGGAATTGCAGGTGTGTGCCACCACCCCCAGCCCTAAAAATCATGTTTTAAAGTCATAGATCCACCTTTGGGGCCAGGGGTGCAGCCCAGTGGTAGAGCACTTGTCTAGCAAGCTTAAGGCCCTGGGCCTGACCCCTAGCACCACACACATGAAAGAATCCTTTCTATCTTATATATTTCATGACTTACTACTGTCACATCCCCTGCTCTGAAAATAAACACGTGTGTACACACACACACACACACACACACACACACACACACTCATGCCCTAAATGAAAGACAAAGAAGTAGCCAGAGAGCAGATCTGGTTCCATTTCATCAGATCCCTCTCTCTCTTTTACTGAACTATATCCCCAGTCCTTTTTTAAAATTTTATTTTAACACAGGATCTCTGCTAAGTTGTGCAAGTTGGCTCAAACTTGTGATCCTCTTGTCTCTGCCCCGAGTAGCTGAGGTTACAGACAGATGTTAGTTTTGTTTTTTTTTTTTTTTTCTTTTTTTGCTTTGAGACAAGGTCTCACTATGTACTCCATGCTGTCCTGAAACTCACAGTGATCCTCCTGCCTCAGCCTCTTAAGTGCTGGGATCACAGGCATGCGCTGCCACACCTGGCTTCAGACCCCTGATTTTTACGACACTGACAATAGGTACCGTATTCTCCTGGCCGCCAGTGAGCCCTCAGAAGGCAAACAAATGAACAAATTTGAAGATAGAAGAAACTCTGGAAGTCAAGCAGCCTGTGTGTTGGCTTCCGGGCAGCAGCTCCTGTGGACGACCAGTTCCTGGGAGCAAGGTACTGGGCTGTCTGGGATGGATACGTGCAGACAGGCTCTGGATAGAATGATGGCTAAGCCGGGCATGATGGCGCATGACTATAATCTCAGCTCTTGGGAGGCTGAGACAGGAGGATCATTGTGAGTTCAAGGCCAGCCTGGGCTACAAAGTGAGTTCAAGACCACCCTGAACTGCATAGTGAGACCCTGTCTCAAAAAGACCAAAAAAAAAAAAAGGCTAAAATGGCTATGATTTCAGAACTTGAACTAGGCGTTGTGGTGCATACCTGTCATCTCAGCACTTGGGAGGCTGAGGCAGGAAGATCCTGAGTTCTAGGTCAGCCCTGGCTACACAGTGAGTTTGAGGCCAGCCTGGGCTTGCTGCATAGAGACCGTGTCTCAACAACAGCAGCAGCGGCAGCGTCCGGAAC